GACAGGCTGTGGACCCTCTAAGGGAGGAGGAGGACCAGTAGAAGGTGGAAGACCAAGAACCTGCTGCAGGAGTGGAACGAAGTACGGTCAAGGCCGCGTGGCGACGCCAGAAACAGCAGGGACAGCACCAGCACCCGCAGCAGGAGCACCCGCTCCAGCAGCACCTCCAGCAGCTCCAGAACCTCCAGCAGCACTAGGAGCACCCCCAGCAGGACCGCTAGTGGTAGTCTCAGCGCCAACACCCTCAGCAGCACCAGCTCCAGTCGAACTTGCAGGCCCAGCAGCTCCAGTACTCCCAGTACGAGCACCTGCGGGACCCGCGACAGTAGCACCCTCAGTAGCCGAAGAACCTCCAGCACCAGCAGCACGGCTCCAGCGCCGGGCAAACCACTCGCGCAGCTCCTGTGGAGAGAGTGGCTCCCGGCGAGACGAAGCACCCGGAGAACCTCCAGGCTCAGTACCCCCAGGCAAAGCACCTCCAGGCTCAGCACCCCCAGGCAAAGCACCCCGAGGCTCAGCACCCCCAGGCTCAGCACCCCCAGGCTCAGCACCCCCAGGCTCAGCACCCCCAGGCTCAGCACCCCCAGGCTCAGCACCCCCAGGCTCAGCACCCCTAGGCTCCGCACCCCCAGGCTCAGCACCCCCAGTCTCAGCACCCCTAGGCTCAGCACCCTCAGCAGCACCAGAGTCACCAGTGACCTCGACAGGCTCGACCACGTCTACCTGGGACACACCTGAAGGGGCAGGACCCTGAGGGGGGAGGGGGTCTACCGGGGGTGGACCTGGTACAAGGAAGAGCGGGGGCGGGGGGAGGGACGGAGTGCGGTAGGGGAAGAGGCGGTAGTAGGGGACCGACTCGTCGAACGTGATGTCCTGGGAGGACAGAACACGGCGAGAGGTGGGGTGGTAGAACTGCCACCCGAGAGCGTCGAGGGGGAACCCCAGGAAGACGCAAGGAGCAGCGCGAGGGGACAGCTTGTCTGCAGACAAGTCGCGGACAAACGCCCGAGATCCCCAGACTCGGAACGCCGACGCATCGCCAACCTTCCCCGTCCACAGCAGGGCTGGGGAGGTCTCCGGCCTGGAGACCCTGGGGTGAAGGTTGATCTGATGCGCCGCGTACCTCACCGCAAACGGCCACAGAAAATGGGGGGCAGCCGCATGCATCATAGACGTACGAGCGACGTCCATGACCATGCCAATGCGGCGCTCAGCAATCCCATTTTGCTGCGGTGAGTCTGGAAGCGTGAAGGTCTGACGGATGCCTCGTGCACGACAGTAGGCTCGCAGAAGGCCAGAGGAGAACTCTCCGCCTCTGTCCGAGTGCAGACGCAGAACAGGAAAGTCCGAGCCAAAGCTCTGCCTGAGCTGGAGACGAGCTGCGCGGATCCAATCGATCAGCACCTCAATGACATCACCCTTGCTGCGCAAGGGGAAGACTGTGGTGTAACGCGAGTAGTCGTCAACAACGAGCAGGAAGTAGCGCTCATGACCCTGTCCACGGACGCGGGATGGGTCCCACACGTCCATGTGAAGCGTCTGCAACGAGGCCTCTGTCGGAGGAAACTGGGAGGAGTGAGGGGCAGCACGCTGGCGCCCCTCGACACAGGGGACACAGGAAGGGCCAGGGCCCTGAGGAAGGGGAGGGAGGGACCGGGGGAGACCAGACACAAGAAGACGGGAGGCCATGCCTCTGAGCCGAAGCAAAGAGGGGTGACCAAGGCGGTGGTGCCAGAGGAGAGTCTCGCGAGACAGGAGACGATACGAACAGGGGGCAGACTCAGGACCAGACCTGGACGCTGCAGCAAACACCTGACCCGACGCAGCTACCCTACCAGACTCAGCAACGGGAGGAGACGCAGTGGTCAGTGTGTACAAGCTCGACCCCGGCTGACGGGTAAACGTAGCCAGGTGTCGGCCTGTGCTAGCCTCTGTGCAGTGCGTCACCCGCTGGCGCGCAGGAGTGAACTGGTGGACACCCGCATCCTGTAGGTCAGCACCACTCACCAGGTTCGTAGAGAACGAGGGGAGGTAGAGACCAGACAGGGTGCCAGAGGGAGCCGCCGGACACGGGAGGACTGTGGAAAAGCGAGACAGGACAGGACCCCCAGAGGGGTCAGCCAGAGACACCGCAACTGGCCGACTAAGTGGCGTGAGTGAGGTGCGGTCCCGAAAGAAGGAGCGAGACGCTCCAGAGTCAAGGGTGAAGGTGAGGGAGGCCGAAGCCGACGTAGTACCTGAGAGCGCAGACTCACCAGTACCTGAGAGCGCAGACTCACTGGCACCTAGAGCAGTAGCCTCACCTGTACCTATGCCCGGGTCGGGCGGGAAACACCAGTAACAGTCACCCTCATCACTAATAGTCACAGCATACATGGCGGCAAGGATAGCATCAAAGTCAAGATCATAGATAGCTACGCCTGCCCTAGACAGCTCTCCCCAGCGGGGGATCTCAGTGGCCTCCGGGAACTGCTGACGCCAAGCGTCCGTTAGGCGGCCAAAGCAGCGCTGGGTGGGGTGGGCACCCCCACACTGCTCACCCGCGCGGTCGCCGGTGCGAAGGACGTAGGTGCAGGGACCAAAAACCCCACCACGCTGACGCTGCGTGTACCACTCACGGAGCTGCTGAGGGGGGGGGATGTCACGAGAACGCTGCTGCTGCTGCTGCTGCTGCTGCTGGCGCTGACCACCACCAGTGCTGCTCCGCTGCGAAGCGCCACCCCGACCACCTCCACCACCTCCACCACCGCCTCCTCCACCTCCGCCACCAGGGCCGCCTCCGCCAGTACCGCCGCCGCCTCCGCCGCCTCCGCCTCCCCCGCTGCCACCGACACCTCCACCCCCGCCACCACTCCCACCGCCACCCCCACTCTCTCCGCCGCCTCCACCTCCACCTCCACCGCCCCCGCTAGCTCCACCCGCGCCCTTGCCCCCCTTGCCCTTGCCAGGGCGGCGTCTCCCGCTAGGGGAAGACGCCGCACCGACCGACTCAAGACCAACGAGGTCGGCCGCAGCAGCAGAGGCGACAGAGGGCAAAAGGGGGGAAGGAGAACACCCCTCAAAGATGGGGGTGCGTGGATCACCACGAGAGGCCCCTACAGCGACTATGCTCTTCTCGGCCGCTAGGAGGGACTTCTCGAGGAGGTCTACAGTGAGAGTGGTGGGACAGACTGAGAGGAAGTGGTCCCTCACTACACGAAGGGAGTCAGGGAGACGAGTGACTATGAAGTAGAGAGTGATGTACATGGGGGGGGGGGTTCTTGGCGCAGAAGTCAACAGGAAGCGCAGCTCGGTAGCAAGTGTCACTAGTGCGGAGGTGCGTAATGAGGTCAGCTACTGTGGGAAAGGCAGCAAGGTCAGGGAAGAGGTACGGTAGCATGAGGCGGCTCAGTGCAGCAGTGGCAGGGGAGGAGTAGCGTGCAACTACAGCGTCGTACAAGGTCTGAGCACTCTTGTACTGACTAAAGTGCGCACGCTCAGAGGTAGGGAGGTGGCGACGCATAGCAAGAGGTGCAGCAGCATTGCGCGTGGCCCACTGGGAGCGAACAGTGGGGTCAGCATCAGCAGCAGGGGCAGGAGAGGCGCCAGAGGTGAGGTCAAAGAGAGAAAGACCGTCTGCCCTATCGCACTGTAGGAACAGCTGCAGGTCGTCGACCCAGACCTCAAAGTCAATGGCGCGACCCTCAGCGTCAAAAGCTTGGACACTAGGGGTAGCCATGACAACAGTAGACTAGCAGCACTAACTGTAGGACAGGGGCAGTGCAGTGACAGAAGTGCTGCTCTCACCAGACAGGGCGGTCCGGGTAGCTCAGTAGCACAGCAACACAGCAAGACTGCTGCTCGGACGGCTCAGCAGCAACGGCAGCTCCGCGGTACCAGCGGCTCGGCTCCTCAGACGGCTCGGGCGGCTCGGGTGGCTCGGGTGGCTCGGGCGGCTTGGGTCCTCAGCGGCACAGGCGGCTCGGGCGGCTCGGCTCCTCAGCGGCGCTTGCGGCTCGGGCAGCTCGGGCGGCTCGGGTGGCCCATGTGGCTCGGGCGGCTCGGGCGGCTCGGGCGGTTCGGGCGGGTCGGGCGGTGAAGGGCGGCGGGGCCGCAAGGTAGGTGGCGGGGCCGCGGTGGTAGAGGCGGCGGGGCCGCAGAGAAGGGCGGCGGGGCCGCCGAGAATGGTGGCGGGGCCGCAGCGAGAGAGGCGGCGGGGCCGGGACGAAGGGCGGCGGGGCCTCAGTGTGAGGCTGCGGGGCCGCAGTGAAGGGCGGCGAGGCCGCTGAGAGAGAGGCGGCGGGGCCGCGACGAAGGGCGGCGGGGCCGCGACGAAGGGCGGCGGGGCCGCGACGAAGGGCGGCAGGGCCGCGACGAAGGGCGGCGGGGCCGCGACGAAGGGTGGCGGGGCCGCGACGAAGGGCGGCGGGGCCACGATGTAGGGCGGCAGGGCCGCGACGAAGGGCGGCGGGGCCGCGTCAAGAGAGGCGGCGGGGCCGCGACGAGGGGCGGCGGGGCCTCAGTGTGAGGCGGCGGAGCCGCTGATAAGGGCGGCGGGGCCGCTAAGAGGAGGCGGAGGGGCCGCTGGGAAGGGCGGCGGGGCCGAATCGACTGGCGGCGGGGCCGTTAGGGCGGCGGGGCCTACTCGACGGGCGGCGGGGCTGAATCGACGGGCGGCGGGGCCGTTAGGGCGGCGGGGCCTAATCGACGGGCGGCGGGGCCTCTAGGGCGGCTCGACAAAGTGAGAGAGAGCCCGGAGCGCGACTCAGGCCGAGCGCGCTTCGGGCAGGAGAGAAAAAAAAAAGACTCGATGTGGTGGGCCCTAGGCACAGTTCCCACGGGGGAACCTGCTCGATACCATGAGAAAAGTAGAACGAGAATGAAATGACTATGGAATGGAAGTGATACAAATATGCAACCCTAGAAATGTGTACCCCATATGAGCTACCCCACTATAGCCTACACAAGATTATAATTTGACAGAGATGGCTGGAAAAGAAGCTGCGGAAAACTCCTCTGCTATGAATCCTCCAGCTGCTGAAAATTTCAAGGGCCAGAAAGAGGAGTTCCAGGAGGAAGGCATTGAGTTGGAGGGCGAAGAGGACATCTTGCATGCTGAAATTGCCAAGTTGCAAGACCATGCTGCTGAGCAGGATATGCGCATCCAGAAGCAGCAGTCGCTCATTAACAACCTTAGGGGGGAGCTCTCTAACCAAGACAACAAAATCAAGTTCTTGGAAGTCGAGCTCAAGAACATGAAGCACGATGTAAGGTAGCATGTTTATCAGTTGGGAAGGCGGACTTCAAAGATCAACAACCTGCAGGAAGCTTTCAGGGGTTTCCGCCAAGAGACCAGGTTTCGCCCTGCAGCACGAGCGGACCCGCCTGCCCACTCTGCTAGCGGTCACACCCACTCTTCTCACTCTGGTGGTGTGGCAGGTGAGCCCGGACCTTCTACGATGCGCGCTGCTGAGCCGAGCACACATGTTTTTTTCTCTCTCCCAATTACCCTCCCATGGTAAGACGGACGTGGCGGCATGGCTGTCGATAATGAATGACCTGTTCGCGGCTCACAAGGTCCATAACGACGCTCGCGTTGTCGCTGCCACCACCATGCTAGACCAGAATGCACAGCGAGTGGTGTATGGTAACAAGCTCCAAGCTGAGGCAGACAAGAAGCCGTTTGAGTGGGAGGAATTTGCTTCTGAACTCAAGCAACCTCTCCAGGTCCAGCCGACCCAGTTAGAGGTGCGAAGCCGCCTTGAGAAGCTGCAGTGTGGTAACCGCATGATTCAGCAGTACGCCATGGAGTTCGAGGAGATTTGGGTGCTCCAAAACCCGGCGGAAAATATGAGCGAAGGTGAGAAGATCCACCCCTTCTTTAAGGGCTTGCCTGAGCACCTCCAGACCATGTACGTGACGGATGGGGCTGGGGAGTCGTAAAGGTCCTATGATCACGTGAAGCACGCATTTCCGTGCTTATGCGAAGACTACTACCCAGCCGCAGCAGGCCTCAAGGCCGTCTTCTAGCCCTACAGGTGGAAGCAGGCAACGCCTTGGAAGGGCGGGAACCACAAGAGGCCCTTCCAGCAGGGACATCAGGCTGGCTACAAGGCCAAGAAGGTGGACCAAGCAATGTCCAGAGTTTCTTCAAGTGCGGCAAGCCTGGTCACAAGGGTTACGAGTGCCACCACCGCAAGTCGGTGAAGTACTCTGGCAAGCCGAGTACGGACAACAGGTGCCATGATGGCAGTGGCCCCTCGGGCAGCCAGCGGCATTTTGCAAAGCCCAACTAGGGGGTGGATACCTAGCGGGCATAGTAGATCGAGAGGATGAGGCAGTAGTCTTGCGGGATGAGGAGTTGTTGAAGCTCGAGTGTCTTTTTTATTACAAAATTGCATGTGCGTATGCATTTTCTTATAATGAAAGTTCTTTGTTTGCCTCTCGATTTCACCAGTGTAAAATATCACCGTCGAATCATTACGAGACAAATTCTCAATCATTTGTTGTGATCAACAAAATTTGCCTTGGATAATGAGTGTGATGGGTCGTTGCACCCAAGCGCACCCTCTAACTGCGGTTGGACTGGTAACGCGTACAATTCGAGGTAAATTATTTCGAGCGCTTCAAGGATAGTGCGTACCTATTAGCGCAGTGGGATGAAGGTCATCATGTTTTCCTCTCCCCTATTTCCCTCCCTTCGGCATGCCTTGCCATTTTCTCACTCCCATTTGACCAAATCCACCTTTCCCTCCATCTCCTTCCTCCTCCCCTCCCTCCTATATCCCCCCACCCCATCTCCGACAGGCAGCACTTGCCTTCTTCCACTTCATGACCCGTCTAGCCACGTGGGCAGCGAAGAGGGTCCTCAACACACCACCTTTTGAGTCGACTCAAAAGTTTACTCCATCTCCTCCCCTTCCTCCCATCCCACCCACCCTACCCCCGCGCCCACCCCCCATCTACAGCGCTTGCCTTGTTCCACTTCAAAACGCTATTGGCTGCATGGGAGGCAAAGGGGGTACTCAACGCATCGCGCTTTGCAATAGCAGCCTACAAGATCCACTTCGACTTCGTCTGCCCCGATGCATCGCACCTCCCACCTACACCGCTCACCGACCCATTCAACAAGGCCCCACCGCGACGTTCTGCTGATCCGCCCCAAAAGGCCCCACCCCAAACATCATCCTGTCCGGGCCATAAGCCACCACCCCTTCCTCCACAAGGTCCTCATGTGGTTTGGCGTCAAGCACCGCCACCCCCATGGTGTTTTAGACCCCTCAGAACCCAAGACGAGTTAATAGTGAGTCCACAGTCATTGTTCCAAAGCTTCCCTCAAGAACCAACACCTTCTCCACAGCCTCCGCGTCCGCCTTCTGTTAATTAAATCACGATCTGCCGTCTTGAGCCCCCTCTCCACTTACCACCTTCCATTGCTGCTGCTGCTCGTCACCTCCTTGCACCTTTCACCAGTCACTCTGCTGCTTCCTAGTGCCCGTACCTCCTTCCGTCCCACACGACCCCCTGACGAAAATCCCGCTGGCGAAGCCGATTTCGAAGTCTGTCGCAGCAGACGATTGCCCTGTCACTGTACAAAAGCTACTAAGTATAATCAGATACCTTAGCATGAAACTCGCATGTTTTCATTCAGTACTCTCCCCAAAATCCTAATCCAGTTTTCATTATCATATTCATTGTTCGTGCCTCCTGTTCATGTGGCACCCTGATGTTGTGGTGTGCACCAAAGTAGGGCCACTGGAGTGCAACAGAGTGGTGTGCGGCAGAGTGGTGTGCGATAGATTGGTGTGCGGCAGAGTGGTGTGCGGCAGAGTGGTGTGCGGCAGAGTGGTGTGCGATAGATTGGTGTGCGGCAGAGTGGTGTGCGGCAGAGTGGTGTGCGGCAGAGTGGTGCGGCAGAGCGGTGTGAAGTTGGCACAGCTTGCAGTGCAGCAAATTCATACCGGACAATACGGTACTGAATCCAATAAAACAAAGGACACCCAACAAATCAAGAAGACTTGGAGAGTATAACAAAAGAGGAAAGGTCATGAACACGATACGGGGTTACACGAAGTGGAAGTAGCACTCTGGCTTGGTGCAGGGCGAGAAGGGCAGCGTGTTGGGGGCGACCATAGCCTCTGTGGTGATGGTGAAGGGCTTCTTATACGTTCCCTGCTTGAAATCCGCCTCTATGAACATCGCCCTGTACCCCTCCTGCATGAGACAGGGGAGGGGCAGGCACAAAAGCGCACACAGAAAGACATGTCAAGCGGAGCGGGAGCAAGCACTTGTGGGTGCTGGGAGCAGCAAATAGCCTCTGTGGTGATGGTGAATGGCTTCTTGCACGGGCCCTGGTTGAAATCCACTTCTATGAACATTGCCCTGTACCCCTCCTGCATGAGACAAGGCAGGCAGAAAGGGCAGGCAGAAAGGAAAGTCAGAATGGGAAGGCAACATTCGACCATGTCAAGCCAAACTACCAGGGCTGGTCTTCACAAGTAGTGAAGTGAATTCAGCCCATGTCAGCCCAAGGCATGCTAATCACTTCACTGCTTGGGAAGACATTTCATATACGTCAACCCAAGTGCCACAACCTCCCATCCTCTCCCTGACAAACTGCATGGGCTGGCCATATGCAGAAACCGCATGCTTCTATGCTGTATAGAGTGTCTACACACTCACTCACTCACTCACACTCCGACTCACCTTGGGCACATCGGTGATGGTAGCGTGGAAGTGCCACAACCCGTCATCCTCTGCCCGGGGCTTGGACATGTTCACAGTCACATACGGTATGGGCTGCGCACACAGCATGCCGAACTTGCCCGGGTATGTGAAGGAGGGCATCTGGAAGGGCGCCACACTTGGAGATGGAGGCCAGGTTGGGAGGAAAGAGGGAGTGGGGAAAAGGAAAGGGGGGGAGGGGTGGGGATGGGGAAAGCGAAGGGGTACAAGGAGTGTGGAAGCGCACACAGCATGCCGAAATTGCCCGGATACGTGACAGATGGCATCTGGAAAGGGGCCACACTGGGGGTTCCGGGGAACACAAGAACCGTGGGGGGGAAGGGTGGGTGGAGAGGGTGGGGGGTGGGGTATGGGGAGAAAAATTGGGGATGTTTTCTGCTAAACAGCGACGCAACACTCTTCTCTCCTCTCCTCTCCTCCCCTCTCCTCTCCTCCCCTCTCCTCTCTCCTTCCCTCTCCTCTCCTCACTCCTCCTCTCCCAACCGCTCCCCTCCCCTCCTCTCCGCTCCCCTCCCTTCCCCTCCCCTCCCCTCCCCTCCCCTCCCCTTCCCTCCCCTCCCCTCCCCTCCGCTTCTCTCCCTCCCCTCCCCTCCCCTCCCCTCCATCCGCCTCCCCTCCCCTCCCCCCCGCCTCCCCTCCCCTCCCCTCCCCTCCCCTCCCCCCCTTTCCCCTCCCCTCCACTCCCCTCCCCTCTCCTCTCCTCTCCTCTCACCATCCTGCTGAGCCTTGCTTGATGACCATTCGGAAATCCCTTCGCTTGCTGCCCAGAATTGTGCGGGCACTCCTGACCACACATAGAAAACAATAAAAGAGACCACAGGGGGAAGCGGATGAGAAGCAGAGAACAGGTCTTGTACATCACCCTGAGGAAGACAACAGGGATAAGGAAAGGGGCAACATAACAAGTACCAAAGCAGCAGGTACATCACCTGGATAACCTATACATCCCCCACGCATCCCCTCCCCATCCCCAACCCAACTGCCATCCCCCACCCAACTGCCATCCCCCACCCAACTGCCACCCCCCACTCAACTGCCATCCCCTATTCCTCCGCATTTCCCTCGTCCCCATCTTTCCTCCCCATCTCTCCCTCGTTTCTCCTCCCTCGCACCTACCACCCCCCATTCACTCACCACGCCCTGACAGCCAATGGCTTGCGCTCTGACGTGGCATAGATGGAGAACGTGGACCAATCAAACCGCCACCTCAGGTTCGGCCACAGCACAGCCGGCAGCTTCGGCGTGCAGCTCCAAGGCAGCATCTTACGCTCGGGAT